GAGCCCCTAGTAGCTTCTTGTTACTAGTAGCGATGCCCTTGCTCCTACTAGCGATGCCAGGAGCTCCTAGTAGCGTCCTTGCTCCTAGTAGGAAGGCCAGCAGCCCCTATAGCTTCTTGTTACTAGTAGCGATGCCCTTGCTCCTAGTAGTAAGGGCAGCCCCTACTAGCTTCTTGTTACTAGTAGCGATGCCCTTGCTCCTAGTAGCGATGCCAGGAGCCCCTGGTAGCGTCCTTGCTCCTAGTAGTAAGGCAAGGAGCCCCTAGTAGCTTCTTGTTGCTAGTAGCGATGCCAGGAGCCCCTAGTAGCATCCGTGCTCGTAGTAGTAAGGCCAGGAGCCCCTAGTAGCTTCTTGTTGCGATGCCAATCCTTGCTCCTAGTAGTAGGGTCATGAGCCCCTAGCAGCTTCTTGTTACTAGAAGCGATGCCCTTGCTCCTAGTAGCGATGCCAGGAGCCCCTAGTAGCGTCCTTGCTCCTAGTAGTAAGGCCAGGAGCCGCTAGTAGCTTCTTGTTATTCTTGCTCCTAGTAGCGATGCCAGGAGCCCCTAGTAGCGTCCTTGCTCCTAGCAGTAAGGCCAGGAGCCCCTACTAGCTTCTTGTTACTCTTGCTCCTAGTAGCGATGCCAGGACCTCTAGTGGCGTCCTTGCTCCTAGTAGTAGGGCCAGGAGTCCCTGGTAGGTTCTTGTTACTAGTAGCGATGCCCTTGCTCCTAGTAGCGATGCCAGGAGCCCCTACTACCGTCCTTGCTCCTAGTAGTAAGGCCAGGAGCGCCCAGTAGCGGCCCTAGTAGCGTCCTTGCTCCTAGTAGCAAGGCCAGGAGCGGCTAGTATCTAGTAGCGATGCCCTTGCTCCTAGTAGCGATGCCAGGAGCCCCTACTACCGTCCTTGCTCCTAGTAGTAAGGCCAGGAGCTCCTAGTAGCTTCTTGTTGCTAGTAGCGATGCCCTTGCTCCTAGTAGCGATGCCAGGAGCCCCTAGTATCCTTGCTCCTAGTAGTAAGGCCAGGAGCCCCTAGTAGCTTCTTGTTACTAGTAGCGATGCCCTTGCCATTGCTCCTAGTAGTATGGCCAGGAGCCCCTAGTAGCGTTAATAGTAGCGATGCCCTTGCGCCGAGTAGCGATGCCAGGAGCCCCTACTACCGCCCTGGCTCCTAGTAGCGATGCCAGGAGCCCCTAGTAGCGTCCTTGCTCCTAGTAGTAAGGCCAGGAGCCCCTACTAGCTTCTTGTCACTAGTAGCGATGCCCTTGCTCCTAGTAGCGATGCCAGGAGCCCCTAGTAGCGCCCTTCCGAGTAGTAAGGCCAGGAGCCCCCTATAGCTTCTTGTTACTAGTAGCGATGCCCTTGCTCCTAGTAGTAAGGCGAGGAGCCCCTACTAGCTTCTTGTTACTAGTAGCGATGCCCTTGCTCCTAGTAGCGATGCCAGGAGCCCCTGGTAGCGTCCTTGCTCCTAGTATTAAGGCCAGGAGCCCCTACTAACTTCTTGTTACTAGTTGCGATGCCCTTGCTACTAGTAGCGATGCCAGGAGCCCCTAGTAGCGCCCTTCCTAGTAGTAAGGCCAGGAGCCCCTAGTAGGTTCTTGTTACTAGTAGCGATGCCAGGAGACCCTACTACCGTCCTTGCTCCTAGTAGTAAGGCGAGGAGCCCCTAGTAGCTTCTTGTTACTAGTAG